GACGATCGCATAATGGTCAAAACAAATTAATCCATCTATTACATTAAAGATCTATTACATTAAATTGAAAATAAATACACGAAAACAGATACATGATGCAAAAAGGACAACATAATTATTGCATAAACCAGATTCAAAATAGATAAGAAAAGATGGATACATTTGCATGCAATGCGATCAATTGCTATTCAAAAACTCATGTATTTTGTTCTTCAACAATGTGAAAATTCATTTGTTAGTAAATTATTAAACACGATTAAAATGATTACGCAAATATAATCTCTACACTTGAGAATTTTAAAAGTTCTAATGAGACAATTTCAAAAACAAATATATAATATAAATATAAATATAACGTAATATAATATAAATATGTATTTTTTCTTATCTCTCTGAATATTGAAGATCTACAAATTCAATCAAACGAAAATCGCCGTAGTTATCAGTATTTTCCCACTCGTCACGTATTGTGCAATTTATAATCATTCGAGATAGTATATAAAGAACGACAAAATTAAATGAATATTCTAATGATACGAGATCCATCGAACACTCAGTATTTCTTAAAATGAAGATTGTATTCGCTCTCTTATTTCTGGTTGCGGTTGCCATCGCACTTCCCATTGAAGGTATGGAAGACAATCTATAATCGAATAGATATAAGAATATAACTTTGCGAATAGAAGAATATAAATATCATGTTTTATTTTCAATAACGATAACATTTAGTAGAAAAGTCAATGCTAAATTTATAAATTGAACAAAGTTCATGGATGCCGAAAATAACTTCTAAGAACTTAAATATATCTGCATATACTACATATCGATATTAATTCTTTCAATACCCTTTGTCAGCAATGATTTTAATATCATAAGAAAAAATAACGTTTTTAAATAATTTTATTTTTGAATAATAATAACGTTTCTCTATCTTGCGTATGTCAAATGAAGATGAATCGGAATCCCAGCTGGCAAATGAGAACGAATTCTTGAATTTGGAACCTATCGAACAACATCATCGCGAACGTAGAGCCACTTGTAATCTTCCTATTGGTGCTCGTACCGCTTGCAATGCTCATTGCCAAGCTAAAAAATACAAAAGAGGATACTGCAATAACAAGAAAATTTGCGTTTGCACCAATAAGTAAGTCGTGATTTAAACAATTATTTTCTTATTATATTCCTATTATTTCACAAAGTGATCATAATTAATCCTACATTATATGATATTAATTAAAAACTTGCTGCTATCGTAAATTTAATAACAGCTTAATGTAGAAATGTATGATTAATCGATATGATTAATATTAAGTTATTTTTTTATTCAATAATAAAAGTCGTTTTTTCATTTTTAGGTAGAAGATTGATTAATGATTCCTGATTGATTTTTGATTCTGATAACAGCGTAATTTTCCTAAGAAGAGATTAGATTGCAATTTTAATCGACATGTGTCATGTCTGACTTATCCATTTTAAAATTTTAACGTTATATAAAATGTATGTATTGCAAAATTACTTGTAATAAATATTTTTCTGAATAAAATAAGATTAACGCAATATATCTATATTTTATCTCTCACAATCCTTCAGTACGTGCTATTTAATTTCTTATTTAATACTTTAAAAAATGGAATCATATTACAAACAAAACGTTCTTTGATCTTGATTGCACGACGCAATGAGATAATTTTCTAATCTCTGATGAAACAATAAATACGTTGTGCGATAATCAATTTCAACAGATTGTAATACTAATGAGCATTGACGATCACATGATGGTCAAAGCAAGTTAATCTATCAAGATCTATCAAGCGATTAAATCGAAAGTAAACGATACACGATGTAAAAAGGATTAACATAATTATTGCATAAACCAGATTCAAAATAGATAAGAGAATATAGATATATATTATTAAGTTTGCATACGATGCGATCAGTTGCTATTCAAAAACTCGTGTGTTTTGTTCTTCAACAATATGAAAATTAATTTGTTAGTAAATTATTAAACACGATTAAAATGATTATGCAAATATAATTCCTACACTTGAAAATTTTAAAGGTATTAATAAGACAATTTTAAAAACAAATATATAAATATGTATTTTTTCTTATCTCGTTAAATATTGAAATGAATTTAACAAGATATTTAATCAAACGAAAATCGCCACAGTTATCAGCATCTCCCCACTCGTCACGTATTGTGCAATTTTTATTCATTCAAAATGATATATAAAGAACGAAATTAAATAAATATTCTTACACAAGATCTACACTCAGCAAAAATTCTCAAAATGAAGATTGCATTCGCTCTCTTGTTTTTGGTTGCAATTGCCATCGCACTTCCCATTGAAGGTATGAAAGACAATCTACAATCGAATAAATAGAGATAGAGAAGAATAATTTTGCAAATAGAAGAATATAAATTTATGTCTCATTTTCAATAACGACCACAATGACAACACTTAATAACAATAGAAAAGGCGATGCTAATATAAATTGAAACAAAGTCCGTGGATGTCAAAAATACCTTTTAAAACATTTAAATATATTTGCATATACTACATACCGATATATATTAATTCTTTCAATACTTTTTGTCAGTAATAATTTTAATACCATAAGAAAAAATAATGTTTTTAATTAATTTTATTTTGGAGTAAACATTTTTCTATTACGTATGTCAAATAAAGATGAATCGGAATCCCAGATGGCAAATGAGAACGAATTCTTGAATTTGAAACCTGTCGAACAACATCATCGCGAACGTAGAGCCACTTGTAGACTTCCATGGGGTGCCCGTACCGCTTGCAATGCTCATTGCAATGCTAAAAAAATACAAAAGAGGATACTGCAATAGCAACAGAGTTTGCGTTTGCACCAATAAGTAAGTCGTGATTTAAATAATTATTTTCTTATATTCCTATTATTTCATAAACAAAGTAGTTATAATTCATGTGTGTAAAAAAATGATCTTTAAATTACTGTTACTAAACCATATTAAATCCTATATTGTATGATATTAATTAAGAACGTGCTGCTATCGTAGATTTAATAACAGTTTAATGAGAAATAATATAATTAATCGATATGATCAATATTAAGTTATTCTTTTATTAAATAATAAAATTCTTTTTTATTATTTTTAGGTAGAGGATTGGTCCTGATTCTAATAACATAATAATTTTCCTGAGAAGAAATTAAATTGGAATTTTAATCGACATGTATCACGTCTGACTTATCCATTTTAGAATTTTAACGTTACATAAAATATATGTATTGTAAAATTATTTGTAATAAATATTTGTCCAATTAAAATAAGATTAACGCAATATATTTATATTTTATTATCCTTCGGAATCCTGCAGCAAAACGTACTGTTTAATTTCATATTTAATACTTAAAAAATGGAATTAAATTGTACGAAACATCTTTGATTTTGATTGTGATACGACGAAATAATTACTTATGTCTAATATAATAATAAATATGTTGTAGTCGCTTCAATCAATTTCAAGAGATTAATGTAATACTAATTATTGACGATCGCATGACGATCAAAGCGGGTTAATCCAAAATCTATCACGCGGTTAAATCAAAAGCAAATAATGTAAGAAAAATTAACATAATTATTGTACATCAGCTTTAAATAATTCAGCCAATAACATGGATATATGTAAGAGTGCATGCGACGCGATCAATAGTTATTTGAAAACTGGTATGTTTTGTTCTTCGACAATATAAGAATTTATTTTTGTCCACTATTCGCTATGGCGTCGCTGCAACGCTTGATGTACATCGGTTTGTATTTGTTTTAATAGATCGCATAAATATTTTCTTCATCTGCACGCAACACAATTTGTAGCTGACGGCAGTTACGTATTCAAAATTTGCGTGCGAATAATATCTGATATAAACTATAAACTACAATACATATTGTTTATAAATTTTTCTTGTAGCATGAGAGATTAAGAACCAATTTCTACCAATCATAATCTTTATAACAAACATTTATCTTTATAACAAACACGTATTGCTTTCAATGTTAAATATTAATAATAAAATAATAAAACTTATATCACACGGTTACAAATTACATTTTATATATAGTCGTGTAATAATTGCATTGTTTGCACTCAACTTTCTCATTGACATTAAGAATTAATAATTAAATATAATTGAATTTCTCAAAAGTATATAACCATATATTAAAATGCGAAAATATAATATAAAATATTGTACAGCGTTATTATTTCTTCAAAATTTAATGCATAATGATAAACATAATGATAATATTTTTATACATTTCAGAACCATCTATAAGTAAAAAATTAAGAGACGATCGTAGAAAACATTAAGACGTTTTAAAATTATTTGAATGCTTTTGGGAACTATCCGAATGATCTTTGAAACGTTTTATAAGACATATTTTTTTAGGTCAATTTTAAATATATAAGTTCGCCTTAATATTAAGGCAAAATTGTCTAGAAACATGTCGGAAAGGGAAAGAATACGGTAGAAACTGGAGATATTTAATCGATTTTTCAATGATTTTAATACTTTTCTAATGACAAAACTGATTTCTATTATAATTTAATATTAATATTATATCTAATATTATATTTGTTATAACAAAGAGCAGCTTTGTTGTTAGGAAAGTTTTGTGAATATTAAAATTATAAATATATCGATGTATCAAGTACCTTCAACTTCTGCCTTATGCTTTTTTTCTTCTTTACAAATGCGTTTCCGGACAACTTCGTCTTTATTGTATCGTTGTAGTACTATAGTAATACAAAATATTGGAATCTCAAATAGTAAAACACATGACTAAGATGTTAAATTTTAAACATTAGAAGGTAATATATTTTGATTATGTCATTATGTAACGTCTTTTTGTAAGATATAAGATGTATTTGAGGATATCATTAGAAATGTATATACATATGTATATACATATACATACATATATCTGTATATACATATATATATATATATATATGTATATACAGATTGTTATAAATAATAAACACACACACACACACACACACACACACACACACACACACACACACACACACAGTAC